AAAACTTATCTAAAATTAGCCTTTTATTTAAGCTTGTGGTACTGCGTATAATTCGTTGAAAACCTGGTGTTTAAAAGTCAAAGAGTTGTTCTTTAAGAGGCCCAAAGGATTTTTGGGGGAAATGATTCAGAGCGAAGAAATCGATTTTTAAAGTTGGATAAATTTCAATGTTTCAACTTGTCCCACGCGTGACATGACACTGAAACGCACATTACACTTGACAGAAGCACCTAAAAAGTTAAGCAGAATACATTAAGTGGAGGTCTTTTTTAACGTATACAATCTAACCTTTCTGTCTTCAAATCAATGATGAAGAGAACTGTATTTCTGTAGGCCGGTGTCATTTGGTTCGTGAACCATAACCAGTCGTTCAAAATCATTTCCCACGACATGATAGCGGCACGGTTGGCATCGTTTGTTTTGCATGCTTTGGACCTTGGTTTTTGTTGTGCGTATTCACTGCCTCCATTTTCCTGAAAAGTGGTCTTAGAGTGCCTTTCGTAAGTCTTTGTCGAAACATTAGTTTTGAACTGAGCAGCAAACCAAAGCGGAACCAAGAGACCTCAAGTCAAAAACATATGTTATCACGTGGAGTTGTGAAATACCGCTTCATCCAAGTGAAATCTACAACTACAGGAGAGAAGGATTGGAACATGGAACATGGAACATGGAACAAGTGGTCTAGTGGATCTTAGCGATTTTTTTTATTACTGAAATATCAGAGTAAAAAAAGAAGGAAAGAAAAACAGAAACCTGCTTAAAAAAACGAATAAAGGCAAAAGAGTGACAAATATGATCGCTATAGAAAAATCATTACCTGAGGAAACGAAAAAAATTTGGCGGCGTTGCCCTCGGAAAAACCTCGTGAAATCGGATAAAAACGTCGTCGCTATCACTTTTTTTTCAAATAAATTTAATTAAGAATGTCGGTACTAATTTAAAAACAGGTGTCTGTTTTTGTTTGTTTTGAGCGAACTGAGAGAATTTGTTTGCAGTCTAAAAGTAGAAATCTTCACCTTGTAACAGATTTAGTGAAACCGTTTTTTAAACACAGAGAGTTGCGAGGCTGGTTACTCGCCTGTTACTCGCCATTATTGATGACGTCTTTCGTCAACTTAAGGAAATCATGCCAGAAGTCAACTCTGTTTATTTAAGGAGCGATAACGCAGGATGCTATCATTGCGCGTTTCCATTACTTTCAGTCTACCATGTTGCCCGCGAGTATGCAATTGAACTAAAGCGTTTTGACTTTTCCGACCCCCAAGGCGGAAAAGGATCTTGTGATCGTAAGGCCGCGACAATTAAAAGTCACATGTGCACCAATCTCAATTCAGGCCACGACATAGAGACAGCCTCACAAATGATGGCGGCCATTGAGTAATCTGGCGGAATTTCTGGTGTCCGGGTGACGGTAAGCGAGCCACAACCTGCTGCAAAGTCCACTCCAGTAAAATAGGAGGGAGTTAGTTTCATTAACAACATTTACACCAAGGAAGGTTTGCATGTTTGGAGAGCTTACGGAGTTGGCTCTGGCAAATTTGTACCCTGGAGCAACTTCCACGAACAAGTTGGGAGTCTTCCTCAGCTAAACAAACAGAAACAGAGTTCTATTGCCGAAGTATCTTTCCAAACTGCCAAAGCTAGCAGTAAACCAAAGCAAAAACCGGTTTTAGAAGAGGCTCCACAGAACAGAAATAATAAATCTCACGGTGGCGCAGAAAAACTATCTGACTGTCTTTCAAGTTGGAGAACGCACTGGGCAAAAAGCAAATCCAACGAGCGTCTCAAAGGCAATGCGAAGAGTAAAGCATACTGATGGCTCTAATATCTTCGACAAGTGCGACTATCTTACACCACTACAAATAGCAGGATTTTTTTCTCGCTTGTCAGCAAAGAAAACGTATAGTGTGGAACAATCCAGTGAGGAGGAAGAACCTGAAAGGAATGAGCTGATAACAGAGAAGGCAATCGAAGAAATGTCCAACGAAGTAACGAAAGTATTAGCTCTTCAGCATCCCATCATGTACGAAACATACAACATCTGTGAGATCGTAGGTCAGTCTAGGCTGGCGAAGTTTTCGATACGAACACTGCAGAACATCTCTGCAGCCTTAGAACTGGATGTAGCATCGATGATTGGCAAGCGCAAGCAGCGGTATATGGAAATTATTGAAGGCGTTGTGGCCAGGTGTGGCTGTAAAACTAGTAAGGCTGACCAGAATATGTAGAGATTAACCTACGAAATGGTCAGTGATGTCGAGAATGTCTTCCTTAGGGTAAACTGAAATTGACGGCTCCACGCTATGTGACGGTCGTCTATAGAACTTTTTAGAGACACTCTTTAAAGAGTGACGACTGACGGGGGTTGTAAAGTGTCTCGTCAAAGTCATCCTCGTAGCTTTTACGATAGAAGCCAGGGAAAAGCCAACAAAAGGAAAAGTCAAGGAAATGTAACAAGTTGTTATAAATTAGTTACGTCTGTGGAGAGAAAAGGAATCACAGCCAAACCCACAAACGGAGAATCTTGTACATCTTCAAGTAGATTTAAGGGGAGATGGTATAATGTAAAGTTTTTTCAAGCTATCTCGTGACTAACAATTTAAGGCCAATCATAAGGAATCTGCCAATTTCATTTTTAAAATTATTTTTAACTGCATCACGTGATCAACCACGCCCTATTTTATCGAGAAATCCTTCGAGTCCGTTCTCCTTTTGTAGGTCTACAGTGTCTAATAATACTCTTCTTGTAAAAACAGTTAGAGGAATGGAAAGAAGTCATATGCGTCTCGTCCTGACGAAGGCTTTAGTTAGAGGAGGACTTGCACTAGTCAATGAACACCAGTTTCACCTGGAAATTGTAATGATTCGGGAACCATTCCGAGCTGATTGCGCATAGACTTTTTAGGGTCAATGCTTTGATATAGAAAAACTGAAGCTACACGTTTAGAAAGCGGTGGGAATCGTTAGTAAGAATTTTCGAACACTGGAAGTTGGGGGGCGAAGTCGATCATGTGGCCACGTAATTTGGCTGTCTTTTTTCAATTTTTTTTTAAAGTTTACTTTACTTTACCATCTATCATTCCTCGTGGATGTCTTTAACAATAGTTTTTGGAAAATGTGTATAGTCTTTGATAAAATTAGTTTATCGGGGAATTAATTATCCGTGACCGGTCGTGTCCGGGTTATCCCGTTTAACCCACTGAGGCAATAATGTTCTTACCCTTTTTATAGCTGGAGACCATTACCGAGCTGAATTATTAAAAAAAAAAAAAAACTAGGTGATGGTCAAAGCCAAGAGTTA